GCTGTGAAAATGCTAGCCACGACAGTGAAAAAACCATGAAAGAATTTGCTAGAAGATGGCCTGTGCTTGGACTCCAAAGCCAGGCGGATTAAGCATTAGTTGCTTCATCCCAACAAAAGGGGGATACTAAGATCTCAATGGGTTGTTGCAAAGATTACGGGGGATGGTGCACACAGACTCTCAGGGCAATCTGTGAATGGTAGTGGCTGCTTTATGATGATAATAAAAAATAATTATTAGTACTTTTAGTATTTTAGTATTTAGTATTAGTATTTTTCCCAGAGAGGGTAAAGAAGCCTTTTCGGAAGAGGTGATGTTTAGGCTGAGGCTTAAAAGTAAGGAAGAATTTCGCCAACCAGATAGGAGGCTAGGTCATCTCAGACAACAAGAACAAAATTTACTGAAGTGCAACAATGAGAAAGAATATTCCATGAATTCCAGGCAATTCAACTTGCTTAGAGCACAGGGAAATGCAGAGAGGTGCGAGGGATGGCCCAACAATGAAGAAAATTGCAAAAGAATTTGGACTTTTATCCTTCAAATCAGTGAACTCCAAAGTAAGGTGTCTGTCTTCCTAAAGTTACCAACATGATTCACTCCTTTGCTAAAGATAAGATTAGAACTTCTGTATTTAAAATATTTTACCCTTTTAAATGTTTATATTTTTCATGTTTTAAGAGAAACACACTGGTTTTCTATAGTAGTACATTTATGCAATTTATAAACAAGTATACATATATTAGAGTAAATTCTTAAAAAATTTTATGTAGATAGAGGTGTGTGGACAAAAACATTGTAGAATACCACTGAGGAGTTCTAGGCAGGATGATGTTCATGGTTTTGGATTTCTGATGGATCTTTCTTGAGCAGTGCAGGCAGAATGTGGCAGAACGAAGGCCAGGCCAGCCAGGAGCTGGTTGCAACAGGCCAGGTAGTGTTTCCAAATTCCCGACAGATTAATCTTTGGGATTTGTGAACAAAAGGCTGGAATTCCCTGGAATTTTCATGAATCCCTCAAATCATAAACTATTCTGCATTTTTCAAAACATTCTATTTATGTATTTTTAAATAATGAGTGACCATAACAATAAGTGATAAATTATTTTTCTGGGATAAGTTATATACTTAAAGTTTCAATTTTCTGCTGAAATATATAATAAATGAATACTTTTTAAAACTGCCAACCAACACGTTATAGAGCAGCAATAATAAGCTGGAGAGGAGGGGTGGGTTTGAGCATTCTTTTGGAGACAGAGGCAAGAGCATCTGCTAAAGGATGTGAAGAGTGGGATTGTTCCAGACTAACTAGAAAACTAAACTATTTCTGTACAGAGAGGGTTGTCTATACAAGACAATGCTCAAGAGAAATATAATGCCATGTCAGGATATCTATTGCTATGTAACTAATCATGCAAAAACTTAGTGGCCTTCATTAGGGAAATGCAAATCCACACCAAAATGAGATACCATGTCATGCTCATTAGGATAGCTATTATAAAACCAAACTACCCCCCACCAAAAAAAAAATCCCCCAAACTCAGAAAATAATGTGTTGACAAGGATGTGGAACAATTGGGACATTTACATACTAATGTGGAAATGTAAAATGGTGCAGCCTGTATGGCAATTCCTGAACAATTTAAAAATAGAATTACTATATGATCCAGCAATTCCACTTCTAGGTATATACCCAAAAGAATTTAAAGCAGGGTCAACAGATATTTGGATATCAATGCTCACAGCAGCATTATTCATAATAGCCACAGGTGGAAGCTGCCCATCCAAATGCCCACCAGTGGAAGAAGGGATAAATATAATGCTGTATATCTATATATGAAGGGATATTATTCAGCTTTAGAAAAGAATGAACTTCTGACCATGCTACAATATGGCTGAGCCTTGAGGACGTTATGTTTAGAGGAATATGTCAGCCACAAAAGGACAAATACTTTATGAGTCCACTTATATGAGACAGCAAGAGTAGTCAAATTCTCAGAGACAGAAAGGAAAATGGTGGTTACTGGGGTCTGGGGAGAGAGGCATGGGGAGTTGATGGGTGTACAGAGTTTCAGTTTGTGATGAGGAAAAATTCTGGGGATGGATGGTGGTGATAGTTGCACGATAATGCGAGTGAACTCAAGGCAACAGAATTATACACTTAAATAATGGTTAAAATGGTAAATTTCATGTCATGTATATTTTGACACACTTATACAAGAAAGAATTAGAGCAAACTGCCTCTCTTGACCAGGGTCATGACCCAGCAGCAAGGCACACGTCATTTTGCCTGTGATGATCCCAAGTGATGAACAGGAATGTAGTGACAGACAATGCTCCCGTTCCCAGTACAGAGTCCTCCTGGAGTGACCGAGGGAATGCCAAGTGCCAGGAGATCTGGGGTCTTGTCCAGGTCTCTTCTGGTCTGGCTGTGCACACGAGGCAAGCCACTTCCTCACTCTGGCCTCAGTTTCTTCTTCTATAGACTAAGGGGAGGGGAGTGAATGGTGTCTCAGGCTCACCTTGAGCCCTTCCATGGGACAAGCCACTGTGAGGCGGTGAAGAGGTCCAGGCATCAGACTCACCTGAATTTGAACCCCAGACCTGCCTCACAACCACATGTATGATGGTGGGTGCTGGCTGTCTGCTGGGACCTTAGCTGAGGCTGCCATTTGGACCACCTATTCAGAGCCTCTTTGCATGCATGGCCTGGGCTTTCTTTGAGCTTGTGGTGGGCTGTAAGAGTGAGCATCCTGGTAGAATGGATGGATGTGTATGGTGATTTATGACCCAGCCTTGCTCACCTCTGCCATGCACTAATGGTTGAGGAAGTTATATTGTAAGAAAAGCATGTATGATATATTCTGGTGGCCACTGACCACTAATTCTTTCCTTTTCCTCTATTTTCTTTAAGTTCTCTTATCCATGAAGTGGTTGAAGAAGGCATAGAATCAGGAGTTTTCCCGGATTACAGATTGTCCCAAGTATAACACTGGAGTCCATTCCTATTTTGCATGTATTTCAGTGTGCCTATGTTTTATTTAAATAGCTGCCAATGGCAGTGATGCCTACACACATAAGAGTGAAATACAGCAAAAGGACAAAGCAACTTAGAATTTCTGCAGTTGGAACAGACAGTCACCCTCAGACCCATCCATATCTTTCCATATGCTGAGACCAAAGACCTGTTGTGAATATTTTCCTCAAAACCATTGCAAAATGCTCTCATCCAACACTCGAATCTGTGATTAGCATTCTGGAATGGGCATTTTCTCATCCCTCTTCTATTTTTGTCTGACCATCTTTATACATCTTCAGTAGATTTCTTTCAGGAAAATAAGACCACTGTTTATATCACGATCTTGTCTGGTTGATGAAATTGTCTAGATCATTTTCCTTAAAAGACTACAGAAACATGATTTTTACCTTCTCTTTTAATTTAGCTTATCATTAAAATAGTTAATTTTTTTTATCATTGATCCTAGCAACTTTCCCAACATTCCAACACTGGTCACAAGATGCACAGATTGAGAAAATAAAATCACGCCTTCCAAAAGAAAGCAAGCCAAGTTTTGCCGCCTTCTTATAAAAAGTACATCACCCACGGGCCTGATGATACGGCAAACGCACAGCTTGAGTTGGTTCTGAGAAAATGCCTTGGAAGATTCATTCTAAAAGTGTATCTCGACCTTATTAAGGAAAACTACAAAGTCACAGTGGTACCTAAAGACATCAAAAGAGTAGCTGATGTGAATATTTTCCTTTGGTGTCATTAAGAAATACAGCAACCAGTGCCACTCAACACAGAGTTCTTTCCAAGTCAGGATGAACTTGGAATTGAACTGTTATTGGAAGAACTGGCAAGCCACTTTCATATCTTAGTCAAGTAAAACACTGAGGGAACAACTATCAATTAGAAGACAGAAAACCATAAAGGATATTTATTTTCAAGGAGAGAGTCAGAGGTAGAATCTCCTTACTGATAGAAGGAAATTGACAACTATAAAAGTCATATCCTACTGCTGATCCTTTCTACTTTTTTTTAATAAATTATTTTTATATCACCCAAGTAATGGATATTCTTATAAAAAATATAAAAAAGCCCCCCAAAATCCCTCTCTCCCAGTTCTTCCCCCTAATGCCTCTCCCCACCCCATAGGTAACTTAGCCCTATTATTTCTATGCATTGCATACATATCTATGTGTTTACTTGCTTATAAACATACCTCAAAAACTTGATTGCATTATTTTATTGTATGTAAGTAAAACGACTTTGTATGTACTGTGTTTGCAACTTGCTTATTTACACTTTACAATGTCTTGGTCCATTTTAGTACTGGGGCTGTTCTCTAGAATTTCACAGAAGGAACCATGGTTTATGTGAGCCTTTACTGATTGACATTTCCAATGCCCATGATTGGTCATGCTTTTTGCGCACAAATGGGAGAACTTCTCTAGGATAGCTACAAATTGAATTATTGGGCTGAGGCTATGTATATTTTTAATTAATGCTGCCAAATTACCTTCCAAAAAATTGTGACCAATTTACACTTCCAACCTACAGCATAGAAATGTACCTGTTCCCTGTGCCCCTGCCAACAGCCTGGGCAGATTTCATTGCATTTCCCTAGGTAATAGTGAGGTTGAGTTTTTCTACCTGTTGTTTTGCCATTTGGTTTTTCTTTTCAGTGAATTGTGTCTTCCTATCTTTGCCCATTTCTTTCTTTCTTGTTTTTTTTTTTTTTTTTGAGACAGAGTCTCACTCTGTTGCCCAGGCTAGAGTGCTGTGGCATCAGCCTAGCTCACAGCAACCCCAAACTCCTGGGCTCAAGCAATCCTACTGCCTCAGCCTCCTGAGTAGCTGGGACTACAGGCATGTGCCACCACGCCTGGCTAATTTTTTCTATATATTTTTAGTTAGCCAATTAATTTCTTTTGATCTTTAGTAAAGACGGGGTCTTGGTCTTGCTCAAAATGGTATTGAACTCCTGACCTTGAGCGATCTTCCCACCTCGGCCTCCCAGAGAACTAGGATTATAGGCATGAGCCACCGTGCCTGGCCACTTTGCCCATTTCTTATTTGGGTTGTTTGACTCTCATTTCTTTCTTATTTAGTTGCATATATGCTCTAGATATTTAGAGGAATTTCTAAAACTCTGGAAGGCAGGAATATGTCTTAATCCTTTTTGTATTCTTTGGGACTTAACATTGTGCTAACTTATATTTGTGGCATTTACAAAATTAAAGACTGTTTTTGGTTAACCTCAGCTATGTACGAGATTGCAAAGTGGCGCACACACAAAATAGACATAACACAGTAACTAGACTAAAAGTTGATGTCCCGGAAAGGACTAGCTATGCGTAGAAATATCTGGTCAGGAAATGAAATAGATTTAGAGACATTTTTATTGAGAAATTGGCACATCCTTTTTTATTAGAAATTCAAGCAGGGACAAGGAAAAAAAAAAAAACTGAAAGCAAGCTGTGTTCAAGGACAGACTCACAGATTGATCTGCGCCATGAGGAAGCTCCTGGATGAATGGACTGGAGCCCACTGGTCGGGCTTTAATTCTCGGTTGTCAAGACAACTGTTCCAACAGACTGTGTCAGCAGAATTCTTCAACAATCCTCGCCCTCTGGCTGCTCACAAAGGTTTCTGTTTGACCGTTAACGTCTCCTTGCTCAATAGACCAAGCTCTCACATCGCTGCCTGACTAAGAGGCAAGTAACACGACTCCACTCGGAGGACAACCCTCCACTCTCTCAGACTCACCTTCCTGCTGTACGGAGGTGGGCCACTCGTCCCTCTCTGCCTCTCTTCCTGTTCCCACCCCCAACCCCGTTGTCCTCTGCCTTCCTCTCTGACATTTCCAGATTTCAAAAGCCTTCCTTGCCCTTTCCAACCCAATCGACGTTCTATTCCAGCCCTGCTAATCATTGAAGATGATGTTCACGCTCTCAACACGGCAGGTGAGAGAGTACAAATTGGTAGAGTCCTTCCCGAGGTCAGGCCCTCTCTCGGGGGCAACTTTGCAAAATGTTTAAAAACTTAAAAATGGGCATATCATTTGAGCTGAGAAGTTACTGTAAGGACATAATGCAACAAAGATATGTATACATATGTAAGAAAATAAAGAGTGTGGAAAAGGGGGTGAGGTAGGGTGACAATGATAGGTCTTGCCACAAGATGGTGATCTTATTTTTTCTTTCTGTTTAGTTTTTACCTTGAACTCCGTCAGGAAGGAAAAATAAAACCAAAATGTTGGTAATCTTGGGTGATTTTTTAAAACAATCACGCTGTGCATTTTGGCATTTTCCAAATTGTCTTAAATGAATGATTTGATGACCAGAAAGATTATATTAAAAACTATCAATAAACAATTTCCAATGGGAAAAAAAGTGAGGGAGGGGGAAACCTATAATGAAGAGAGAGTTAAGAAACATATCAGTACAATTTATTTGGCTCTGGATTTGAACAAATTAACTGTAAAAAACATTTGTAAGATGATCAGGTTAATGTGATCATTGACTGGATATTTGATGATATGAAGAAATGATTAAATTTTTTAGTTATGATCAGATTGTAGATTTGGTTTAAAAATGAGTTATCTTTTCATGACATACACTAAATATTTGCAAATAAAATAGCATGATGTGTAAGATTTGCTTTAAAATAATCTGCTGGTGTAGGGGGAGGAAGGTGAGGGGACAGAGGAAACAAGATCGACTACTGAAGTGGGATGATGGGTACGTTATAATGTGAGGGCTGTCCACAAAGTATCCAGCCATTGTTAATATACCAAGAATGGTTGCATGGCTGGATACTTTCTGGACATCCTTCCTATTCTATTTTTATATACGTTAGAAAATTTCCATAATAGAAAGTTTAAAAACATAGGAACAATGAATAACAAACTTACAGCCCCTCGTGAAGCATAGAAGGAATACATACAGTATCAGGCAGGAGGCTGCACTTAGGAATTCGTTTCCCCCAAAGTCAATTTTATTCCTCTCTCCTTGTCTCTGGCTCCTGTCACTTTCCAACCTCCGGTGCCTCTCAGGCTTTGCACTTCTAATGCAAAGCAATTTTATCTCCTGATTCTCACCCTTGCTTCCATCATAGGCTTAAAAGTGATTTCTTTGTTAATCCACTCATGTATTGATAGTGTATGTATACCATGGAATACTACTCAACTACAAAACACAATGGTGATCTAGCACCTCTTGTATTATGCTGGATATTGATTGAGGCCATCCTGCGAAGTGAGGTATCACAAGGAGGGAAAAACATGCACCACATGTACTCGCCATCAAACTGGTACTAATTGATCAACACTAAGGAGCTCACATGGTAGTGATATTCACTGGGTGCTGGTCAGGGAGGGGGGTAGGAGAGTTGGGGGTAGAGCGGGTGGGGTGGGTCAATCCACAGCTAATGAAGGCGGGGCGCATTGTATGGGGGAAGGAGATGCTTGTGGCTTGAGCGAGGCGAATGCATTTCATGCAACCAAAATGTTTGTACTCCCATAATATCCTAAATTAAAAAACAAACAAATAAATAAATAAAAATTTAAAAAATGATTTGTGTTATTGGCCTGATAACCTGGAAAAATATTCCCCTTAGCAGGGCCTTGAGCCCCCGATCCTCACACCCTTCTCTACTCTCCTAGACAACCCTGAGCAGCCACAGGCCAGGCCCACAGGATCTGCTCCCTTGGCCTGAGAAGGAGAAATCAACGTCTCTTGTCCAGGAATTCTACAAATGGAGTGTTTTGTACAGTCACTTTCTCAATGCTCTGGCTGTGTTGGTATTTTGGTTAGGCATGTTTGTGTTGCCATCCAAAGGAGAATGTCCATCTTCTAAAGGTAGGCGTTAGCTCTTTGGAGATCAATACTGCGTGCTGGAATTCTTGGGCCCACCCGAGGGTCTTAGTACAAGCGTGGGTGAACACTGGGTACGTGTTGTTCCATCATCCAGCCTAAATGACCCCAGAAGTTCTTACACTAACTTGAACTGATAACGGAAGTAAGCCATATGTATTTTCCTTATACATGCTTTTTTTCTTCTTGCTATTCCATTCTTTTAACAGATCACAAATGTGAGGGTGGGAGTGGGAGCTAGAGTTTTCTATCTCATGTCCTGGGCTTTGATAAATATGTTCTGTCAACAGCAATGTCAGTCTTTAAAGTCTTCATAAAGACCTATGTTTCTTGCTACATATATTGAATTCTCCATTAATAAATATTCTGAAATGTGACATCTTCAGAATATCTGCAGACTGAGTTGAACTGAAGTCCTCCAGGTGGGGCCAAACTCACGTGGACGGTGAGCAGCCTCCTACAAAAGGCACTGGGACTGTCACTAGGAAGGTCCAAGTCCCAAAGGCCAGTCTCGTGCCTGTGTTGTTACCACTGACTTCATGGGCTGTGGTCTAGTTCCTCCTAAGATACTTTCTCCACGGCAGCCCAAGTGATCTCTCCAGAGCACAGGTTATCTGAGCTTCATACTTTTCATACCCACTTCATACTTTTCTTAGGACTCAAGTCCAAAGCCCTCGGCACGGCCTGTCATGTCCTCCATCACTCGACCCATTTCCCTCTCCCACTCCTGCCATGTGCTTCAATTATTTGACAGAATCTTTCCCTCTCACATCAGCTACTCCCTCTAACTGGTCTCTCCCACCTCTTTTGTCTGGTATACAATAGGTGGGTATGCAAATGCCGAATGAATAAATGGCTGATTTATATATATGTATCTTTTCAGAATTGGCCCAGGTTTTCCCCAGCCCACAACTGGGTAAGGTGATCCACTCACATGATCCGATAGGACTTCACGCATCACTCGCTTTGACCTGCTTATCTACCTACCCTCTCTCAGCCCCTCGTCTGCCTTTCTCTACTTTGTTCCCCTGGGGCTGGAAGTCTGCAAACAACATTTCCCAGGCTCCCTTAGCAGCCAGCTTCTTATTACGCCCTGCCAATAGAAGGACTGAGGGATCGTAAGGCAGGAAGACGACAAAAACGTCTCTAACACTGCGGTGCGGTGGCGGCTGCTGGTGCCGCTGGAGTGGGAGCAGGCGGGGTGACTTCAGACTCCAGCGCACCTTGCAGCAGTTCTGCCGCCGGGCAAGGCAGCATCACTTCAGCATATCCAGAACTGACTGCAAATGTCTCACAGCAAAAGGGCAGGGGCACCTGTCTCGCGGATGCCAGTACAGTTGTGTCAGCTGCTTCTTATCTTTGGGCATCACAGTTTCTGTCTGCCTCCATGCTTCCTTTGGCCTTTTCAGGTTTTAGAGCATCTTTAGAGCATCTTTTAACCCTATTGCCCAGCACAATACATAGAATACAACAGTCTGGATATAAATGTGAGGATGTAGATTGGAAAAAATATTAGGAAGCTTTTTATTTGGGGGAGAGGAATAGGTCTAAAAGGGTTAAGTGTATTAAAAATATATTCTCCTTAATTCCCCCTCCAACCTCCAGCCCGGCTGCACTCTCGAATCTGTGTGGCTTGCGGTGGATAGGCTTGCCCCCCACCTGGTGGCTCCACGAGTGAGCATACAAACCAAGCTGGGCCAATGAGAGTTAATACAGAAGGCTTTCTGGAACCATTGGAAGAGAGGCCTTCTTTTCACTGAGATGTGCCTCAGATGGACTGTAAATGCATTTCTAGGAAAAACCTTAGTTCAAGTCTCTTGAGACCCATATGTCTTCTCCATTCAGGAATTTCACTATTTGTTACTGAAAAAAAAGAGGAAGTTTCCATTATTTTTGTGGCCACAAAGAAAAATCATAATCATAAAATCTTAGCTGTGGATACTGCCAGTGACCAGGCTGCTAAGGTTATTAAAGTCATTTTTCTATATTAAATGAATATAATAAATTGTAGGCACTTTGGGAAGAAAACTACAATCTAATGTTTCCAGTGATCTTGAAGGAGTATCCTAACTATGTACTAAGGGTGCAGCCTTGAATGCAGGGTCATGTAAAGGTTATGTGGGAAGGAATCAAGGATTTTTCAGACAGGACTGAGGTTGCTATTTAGGTGTAAGGAAGAAAGCAAGCTAAAACTCAAGCAATAATTTAGTTCCTTTGCGGGTCTTCCACACTGTGCATCAAATAAAATGACGCCCTTTGGGAAACTGCCAACTTCGTGAGCACTCTTTGGATGACCATGAAGTCAAATCATTATCCCACTGTCTGGCTGGCTCTGCTTCTGAATTTGGCTAGGAAATGAGAGGACTAGAAAGGGGCAGCCCTTAGCAAAGCTGTGTCAGCTCCCTTTGAGAGGATTTAAATAAAGAAATAACATATCAAGAAACAATGTGCAAAGTAATTTGTTAGGAGCCTAAGCACAAAGCACTCTTTGGCTTTCATTCTCCATTTTATTCCCACAACAAGATGTCATTGGGGATTGAAAAATGTACAGTATAAAAATGTAGGACCTGGAGGGGTAAAGAGTTGCACAGATCTGTGTGCAACTCCTGATTCTGCCACTTTCCAACATGCACAAGTCATGTTACCTCTTTGGGTCTTTGTTGCTATCTTTGTAAAATAGTGATAATAGCATTTACCTCATGGGATTATTATAATGATGAGATGAAGCACGATAGAAGCGAATGGGAAGGAGCATCCTAACTGTGCAGTGAGGGCACAGCCTTGATAGAGGGTCATCTGAAGGCAGATCGAATGCACTCAGCTCCCTTTGGTACCATTGTCTTCTTCAGGGTTGCTCTTGTCCAACCGCAGTGCATCAGTGCAACAGTTTATTAAGCCTTAAAGATGTGGCAAACCCTTTAAATAGGCCCTGAGAGACGGTATGCCACATTTTGGTCATACAGATATACATGAACAAAACAGCCTTTAGTAACATCCTCCTGGAACAGATGGGCATTTTGATAACTATGCTATGCTAGGGATATGTACAAGACGCTAGGTGAGCAAAGAAAGGAGAGAAGAAAATTCTGACTTATTATGAACCTAGAAAAGCCAGAGTTTCCTGAAAAATGGCAATTTTAATCCTTTGCACTCGGATATTGAGTGTGACTCGACATGGTTAGCAAATATAGAGATTAAAATTACTCTTTGAATGTATCAATAAAATGAAATATAAAAAAATCCAAATAAATAAGTTTGTATGAAAAGAAACTCCAGTTTTTTATTCTACTGCCACGCTTTGTAAAATCTGGAGTATTTAAAAAATTAAATCCCAAGTAGAATAAAGGAATCGAGAAAAAAAGCAAGCGAGTGCAAAGGGTTAAGGAAAACGACCCCCTTAACATAACTGCTCTATCATCAAAGAGTCACAGCTCACAAGATGTTGTTCTTGTCATGGTACATATGAAACTCCTTCACCTCCCGATTCCAAGAACAGTATTATTTTGTTCCTTTTTCTTCTCCTCTTCCCCTACCTCTCTCTTTTTTAACATTCCTATAGCACAGAAGGAATCATGCCTCATTCTTTGTGCTATCTCAAAACCACAATGGCGACAGCGCTATACCTGGCGCTTGACCAGAGAGGAAGGGGAGACTGTGTGGAGATTGGCTCAGGATCAGGCTTCTGCAGGGGCCGACATACACTCCTCTGTCTAGCCTTCAGAACAGATTTGGGTCTGAGTAGAGCGGGGCTGATGTAGAGTTAACTCCACCATTATCCCACTAGTTAGTTGTCTTAGTCCATTTTATGCTGCTATAACAGAGTACCTGAGGCTAGGTAATTTATAAAGAAAAGAGGTTTACTTGGCTCACAATTCGGATGGCTGGAAGGTTCAAGACTGGGCAGTTGCATGTGGTGAGGGGCTTAGGCTGCTTCAACTCACAGTGAAAGCAGAAGGGTATGTACACAGAGATCACATGGTGAGAGAAGAAGCAAGAGAGAGAAACTGAGGAAGCCAGAATCTTTTTAACAACCTGCTCTTGGGGGAACAAGAGTGAGAACTCACTCACCCCAGAAGCGGGGGAATCATCTATTGATAAGGGATCTACCCCCATAACCCAAACCCTTCCCAGTAGGTCCAACCTCCTAACACCACTACTCCTAACACCAGCTACCTATGTTAAAAGGAACTTCAAATTACAGTAACATCATCTACAAATAATTTACTAAGGTCTTGACAGCACTTCTTCTGAGGCCTCTATCCTTGCCTTGCAGATGGCTGCCTTCTTGCCGTGTCCTCACATGGTCTTTCCCCTGTGCACGGGCATGCCTGCGTCCAAATTTCCTTTTCTTACAACAGTACTGGTCAATGTACTGGATTAGGGCCCACCTGTATGACCTCATTTCACCTTAATAACATCTTTAAAGGCCCTATCTCTAAATACAGTCACATTCTAAGGTACTAGAGTTAGGATGTCAACACATAAATTTTGGGGGACCCAATTCAGCCCATAACATTCATCTTCCTTTTATGTAAGAACTAGCATTATCATAAGCTGAAGAATACACATAAATGAAGCAAAAAAAGAAAAAGGAAGCAGCAAAATGGTCAGATGGGAGAGACAATTGGATCTTGCCTGGGGGGAGGATGGAAGAAAGGACCCTGTAGTGACACTGAATTAATAAGCTAGCCAAAGATGTGGGTATAATTAAGACACACAACAGATGGGCACAGGATCTGAGTATAAAAATAACAAAGTGTGAGAGTAACTGATTAAATTTTCCATTTCTAAGGGGATTTAGATGTGCTTAGAGTGGAAAGGAGCCATAGAGACCAACTGGGGCAGCTTTGAGTTCAGTCTGCAGCAGCCCAACAGATGGGCACTGGCCTTGGCTCAAACCAGGTCTCCTGGGCTCACAGCCTACAGATGTCACCTGTAGCTGGACATCTCCAGATGTTAGGAAGTTCTCCTATGTTGAGCTCATA